GTTTCCATCAAAGATTTACTCTCAATGAATCAGCTTCAAATTAGAAAAAGATTTTGAATAGACCTATAGAGAGAGCATCAAATCCCGATTCTAGATGACTGAAAGTTGATCAAATATTTTGTCTAAAAAGTTTTTCAAGAGGGTTCAAATGAACCACGTGGCTTATAAAACCATTGTGTTGCGAATATTTTTCCTAAGAAAACATTTTTTTTCTTCATTCTACACCACATCATGATATGATAACAAAAAAAAGTATCTCGATTTATAGGTAGCAATAATAATAAGAGCGCATTTTTAAACAATCATATTATTGTCACATTCCTAAGATATTAGTCAGTGATGTTTTTTGACTAACTTTTCTTCTCCTTTTTTGCATTCGTTTTACGTGCACGAACAGGATAAACGAAGAGATAGAAAATACGACATAATCAATGACAAAATACAAAACATGTTGTTAGCAGACGATAAATGTACATAATAGACAATGTTTTGTTTATAATACTTTGATTAAAAGTTAAACGTAAAAGTAGCATTATTTTTAATATTTATTTCAAAAAATAAAAACACATAAAAATGTAAACAAATACTTTTTTTCATACTGAGTAAAATTTAATAATTATAGACAAAGATGTAAGACAATTGATGAAAAATACTAAGGGATTTTGTATTTGATTTTACTTTGTGATACCTTACTATCATCATACAAATCAACAAGTCTTAATAGCTCACGTAAATACATGGTTAATGGACAAATTAATATAGTAACATTGCTAAGAGTTATATAATGTAACAGTAAAAGTGGACGCGTCTTGTGTAAATATTTTACCGCTTTTATCTGATAAACAAAGCCAATTATCGTCAGGTTCCGGAAAATGCAAAATTAAAGCTAGATAGAGCTTGATGAGTTGATCAAAAATATATGTGTTGTAAATTTTGTGGAGTGAGTTTTTAGTTAAACATTCTCAGTTTTTTCCGATGATCTATTATTTCTAAAAAGAAAAAGGAAAAATCAATTTTCAATTATTTTTCATTTGCTTCAAGTTGTAAAACTGTTTGTTTCGGATTCGGCATGAAAAATGAAATCTAAGAAAGTCATTTTAAAATGACTTTCTTAGATTCTGTTCTTCATGGCGAATCTGAAACAAACAGTTTTAGTATTTGGATCAAATGAAAAATAATTGAAAATTGCTTGGTTATCGGAAATTGACTTGTTTTTTCTTTTGAGAATATGATTTACGGTCAGTAAAAAAATAAAATGATCAGTAAATAAAATATCCATGTAACCATTTTTTAGTTTTCAACGCGTTTCTGAGCGTTTAGTGTAAGAGGGCTTGCCGCATTCGTACGCGCCTGCATGCATTTAGTTTATTCTCAAAAAATTTTAAAAAATAACCGTCACTCTGTGTCAGATTCGAACCGATGTACCATAGCGAACTATGATATAACACTCAAATACCGTGAACAACACAGTGGGAATTTTTTAACTAACAGTTTGAACCAAGATTTGAACGCGCGACTATCGATTATAAGCCAAGCACAAGTAGCTTTGAGGTATATACAACTCGAGACTAATTATATGTTCATAAATCGAATGGCTAACTCTTTTTGAATTTTGATAGTTCTTAGTATAGTGATATTGTTTTATTTTCATTTCGTAAATGAATATCAATAGGATATTTATATTCATAAAATAAAAATAAATATAACCTTTATATTTATAAACGAAAAAAATTATTATGTACAAAATGAAGAACTCTCTTTGGTAAATATAAACAAAAAATCCGTGGTAGAACAAAAATTAACTGATATATTTTTTCTTTTCATTGATAAAAAAATATAAGATGCTATTGAAAGCTGAGAACGCTCCATGAAAACGTTTATATGAGTAAAATCTTTTCTCTATCTACATATTATGCATTCCTCGTTCATAAATAAAATGTGAGCTCCACACTTTTCCATTGTTATCTGGTATATATACGTTCTCCATCATTGCAGCGTAATTTAAATTTGTCTTTTATTAATAGGAAGAGCATGATATACTCCTTTAAATTGAAATTCATAAATTGAGAATAATCTTTGTGAAAATATCAGTCTTTTGGTACGATTTATCACTAACCAGGATTGTAGGAAGATTTGCTTTTTCCGAAGGGCGATCACGTAGTGACGACAGGCTCAATAAAATTATTCCAGTTTACTAATTATATAGAAACATGTAATCATTATTAATTTTTAATATAGAAAATGATTGTTGAGCTCTAATTGAATCCGTTCTCATCTTTTTTGTTTTTGAATGTTTAGGTAAACTATCTACAAGTATTCTCAAAACAACAAAAAGTAAATTTTTTTTTTCAGTTGATCAAATAATATAATCCTAATTAAAATCTGTTTAGATGATGATTCCAGTGAATCAGAAGATGATACCAAACCTAAAAAAATTAAAACATGCATTAAATGATGATGGATTTGAAGAAGTACCTATTAATCAACGTATGTTTTGCATTGGCTACTATTTATTTGAGCAATAAAAACATTGGAATGAGCAGTAATTAATTCATTCAATAACAGTAATAATTTCATATTTCAACAGTAAAAAAAAAAGAAAAGCTATATTATTTTTAGTTAGAACTGAAAGTAAAAAAAACGAAAAATTACAGTATAGTATAGTATTGTATCAATAAAGCTTTTTTTTCTTTCGATGATCTTCCTCTTTTTTCTTTTTGTACCAATTTTCACATTTTTTGCTTTTGGTTGAAGTTTGTAATATTTTAACCCATTTTCGTCTATTTTGCTTTAGCATCTTTTTAACCTTTTCATTATCATTAGAAGACTCCAATTCCATTCATTGTCACTTTCACTATCAGAAATATATTGTACTACGCGTTGCGATTGAGCCATTAGTGTAAATTATATATTGTATTTTTGTAAAATTGAAAAAAATACGTATTTGTATAAATAAATTGTTGATGGGGATCCTCCGATGTAACTAATCGATATCAAATGGCTAACTATATTTTCCAAATGGGCGCAATATATATGTGAACATGATAGGAAAAATCAAAGATAACAGGGAAAAAAGTAGAACAAGTGGGAAAACTACCTAAAAAGTAAGAAAAGATAAAAACAAAAAACAGTGAACCGTACTATCATATAATTGCATCCATATTGCCCTTTTTATATAAAGTTTAGCTTTAATTTAAATAAATTATTGGCCATTCAGAATATTTACTACTTATTCAGTGTTATTACTGCTCATTTCAATTATTTTACTTCTCAATTAAATATAAGTCTTTTACATTTATTATTATTATTTTTTGTGGAACTTACATTATGTTTTTCGAAGAAAAGCATGGTGAGTGTAAGTTTTAGGTCGAGATTTAGCAACTACTCCCTTGAAAGCAACAATAAGGCGAAGAAAGGCCAATGATCATTGGGTACGTTTTCATAGCAACTAAGGATAATAGGTGTCAGATTTCCTTCCCAGAGTTTTTTATCGACGAAAAAAGGTACTGAACAGCATTAACAATAAGACTTCACCTATTTTAGAACATTCCAAAGCCTTTTTCTAAATTTGAATGGCTAGAATACATTTGTGAATGTTCTAAATAGTTCGTTTTTTGGATTTTAGAGAAGATAAAATTTTATGTGATAGATAGTGATGCATTGGTTTGTCACAATCGTTGTATGATCAACAGAAAAAGCGTGATCTACTCAAGTTACAACTTTAGAAAATAACTAATTCCAGTGTTTCTGAACTTATTAAGAAATAGAGAAAGCGACAATTAGTCACAATGTAGAATTGGTCGCATGTTTGAAAAAAGAGTTATTCCTAATTTACTTTCTACAAACTTCAATTTCCAGGTATGTAATTCAATCAGAAACAGCACCATGCGATAATGAGGATGGCATATGAAAAATGAAGCTTTACTTCATAAAACGTTGATTTTATCGTAATATTACAAAAAAGTATATTCATTGTTGAATAGCGAAAACTGCAGTAGATAGGATCTTCAAAAGAAGGCAAAACTATATGTATTGTAGAAAATTTTTAAAACAATTACTACTTGCTTTCATGGAAGGCTTCATACTTAATAGGAAGAATTTACTAACCATTCATATTTATACTCATATCTCATGTTCCTTATTCTTGAATAGAATGTCAATTATTTCTTTACAATGCGAAGAAAATCTTTTTTTTGCTAATAATTTTTTCAGCATTGCAATCAATTGTCGTAGACATCAGGACATATAATAATGTGTTGAGACCTACTGTAGATGTAATGAATATATACAATAGACTCCAAAGTAAACAAAAAAATTCTGTTTGAAATGCAGAAATAAATCAAACAGATCGGTTTCCTAGCAATTGATTATCCTTGGGGAACAACTATGGTCTGGTAGAGATTTTTCATTCAACGTATTTTGTATTAGTATAATAAGATTAAAGAACACATGTGAGTTTCACATTTTAGTTCCATAGGAGTTGTACTGACAAGCTTTTTTTGACTTGATTTTTCTTTGTATCTTTCAACTATGAAACGTATCCATCTTGATGCTGAAGATTTAGTAATAGATCATGTCATAACTCAATCAAAAAAAAAATCGCGAACAATTTATTAATCATTCTTATAATCGATATTAAATTTGCAATATCAAAAGTTTTAAAATAAAATTTATTATATTTAGTTTTATGGATTATAATGATAGTGACGGTTTACCAAAATGATTTATTGAAGAAGAAAAACAACATTGTCAAGCAAGTTTATCTATAACAAAAGAACTTGTAGAAAGATATAAAACTAAAATGAAAGAAATTAATCAAAGACCAACGAAAAAAAAGTTGTTGATGCTAAAGCACAAATGAAATGATGTGTAAGTTTATTTATTTTATTATTTTTAATTATTATTGGATTTCTTATTTGTTTGTTTTTTTTTCAACGAATTACGTAAACTTGAAAAAGTTAAAAAGAAAACTGCACTATTACTTGAAAATACTGATTTAGATGATAAAAGAACGAAATAAACAAATTAAAGAGTAGTTTGAAAATTTAATTTTTTTTATTTCATAGAAATTAAATTTATTTGTTTTAGTCAATATCGAAAATATAGTGTTATTGGAAAGAAAAAAGCTAATGTCAAATGTATTATAGCTAAAAAATCTCAACATGGAACTGTTCGACCATCTGACCAAGAAGATATCCAAATAAATAAAGTTAAAAGTTTAGAAGAACTCTTCATAAATGAATTAAGACCAGATTTAGAACTTTCAGAATTTTTCGGTCGAGGTATCCAATATTTGCTTGAAATTAATGAAAAGAATTTCATCCCATGGCTTAGCATTGCCACTATAGGTGCCATAGCTGCTGTTCAAATGGCAGTAGGTGGAGTTCTTATTGGAACTGGATTCGGACTCACTTTAGGTATGGGTCTGATTACTGAAGGAGCAATAGATTTGTTCACTGCTTATGGAGCCTATAGAAAAAGACAATTTTCTTGGTTAGATTATGCAATGCACAAAGCAGTAGGTCTAGCTATCACGGCTGCTTCATTGGGAATTTCAGCAATTAAGAGTATGGGTCAAGGAACTAAGGCAATAGTAACAGCCATAGGGGAACAAGCAATTGAACAAATTACTACACAAACAATATCAAATGACAGATTGACAACTCATATAGTACTCCACATTGGAAAAAATTTGAAACGCCAAGCTATAGGACAAATGATGTTTTGGGCCAGTGGGAGGCTATTAGGAGAATCTTTGATGGCATTAAATAGATCATCAGATATAGGTTTTTCTTTTGTACCCGATCAATTGAAATCACAAATTTCGGAGTCCATTCAGCATAAGGTCAACAATGTACTCCGTGATCGAGATTTAGATATACTATTGGAAAAAATGTATGGAATCGACAAAATAAATAAAAATCAGCAACTAAAGGAAGAAATAAAAAAAATAACATTTGAAGTGATTAATTCTCAGCGTAGTTTTTGGCGCAAACAGTGGGATTCTATTGGTGGTCCACTATGTAAAGGTATTTTATCAAGTGCAGAAAAAATACCAAGTGCAGCAAATATGGGCCTTATAATAGCTGGTATTCTAAATACAACACATGAAATTACTTTTATTCTTGAAACAACTCGTGAACAATTATTAAAGAAACTTTCAGGATTCGATCAGGAAAATTTATCAATGCAGCAGATTCTCTATCGTTATTGTAGATTCAGTAAAGATGACGCCAAGAAAATTGCAAATCTTCTTGAGAAACAAGGTATAATAGAGCTAAATAGCGAGTTAATAAATGAACAATTTCTCACTAAATTAAATCAAATTGATTTTTCTGAATTTGATAGGCAAAAAGATTATATTTTAAACTTTCTAACATTACTACACAAAAATATGTTTAATTCGGAAACGAATAATTTTAGTAAATTAATGCAATTAGTATCAGACAGACTTACAGATCAAATATTGAGAATAGTAGAATCGCAGCTGACTTCATCAAGGAGTGGTTATTTTGGAGATAGGTCAACAAAGGCTCTTTCAGAAATACATCAGGTTGTTGTTGATGAAAAAAATAATTCAGAGAGTCAAAACCGAGAAAAACAAGAAGAAGTAAGAGAAAATAACATTAGCATTGCTAAACAAAATCAATATAATGTTAAAGATTATATTTTAGAATATAGTCAATGTGAAAGCAAGTCGAATCAATGAATATTGTACCCTGATAGCCGAATCTTTGTCATACACAAATTTGAATTCTAATAAAACTTTACCTTCAATTGTCTTGAATGAGAATCTTGGCCTGAATGAATATCCCTTTCATCCTTATCCATAACCACACTTCCGATAATACCACACGTATTTAATTTCAATCATATATAAATCATCAGATAGTTTTAAGGCTAATTCAATATGAAAGAATTTCTTTTTCAATGATCATTTTTATGAAAACACTTTAAGTTGATGTAGAAATAACGAAACTGTAATAAAAATATTGAAAAATGGAAAATTCAAATCACCAATATTTCCTTTTCAATACTTTTGTTGTAGCATCTTTATTTCTAAGAAAACTTACAAATTTCCCAGCCCAATACGATCAGCACAAAAAATCCTCTTAGTTAAACGATCGACTCAAACATGGTTTTTTTCTTAATTAAATACTCATGAAGTCTTCATCATTAAACTAAATTTCAAATGAAAGATATTGATAATTCCGATTCATCATTAATACACATGTTGATAACTTGAATATGACAATAAAAGGGAATTTAGTTTGACTTTCAACATTTAATCTTCAGGCCATGCTTGTGTGAACTTTATTTTCTTGACTACTATCCATTTTCATACAATATTTCCTCTTTAAATCTTTGAAACAATTTTACTGTCGTTCCTCGAAACAAATGAAGTAGATAATGAGATATTATTGAAATGTAGTTAGAAAATAGCTAAACTTTCTCTTCTCCCAGATTTACAAATATCTAGATCGTTGTGAAGAACAATATTCAATATGTTAATTAGTATACAAACAAATCGACTAGTGTCAAGGATCTTCTCACTTTTCTATTGTGTTGTCTAAATATTCTTATATTCCTATTATGTTTGTATTATGAATGTACACTCTTTATTAACGCCATCGTTTTTTATGTATTTATATTTTTTTCGATATTTTTATCTATTATATCTTCTTTTTCACTTGTATTTTTCTGTATCTTTGGATTGATGTTTCTTTTTATAATATGATTGTATATCTAAATTCTTGAAGTTTTTCAATTGATTGTAATTTAAAACATAGTTTTATTGTGTTACCTGCAAAGAAAAATAACAGTTGAGATAGATGTAACAGCAAAGTAAAATGCTCTTTAACAAACAAACAATGACAACCATTTGCTAATGATACGAACAAAATCTAAATCATCAGAAATTAACTCGATTATATTAAAATTAACGAAATTTGCAAAGAAAAACTGTTCATCTATATACGATACTGATTATATCAAAAAATCAAGATTGACTAATGGTTACTTCAAGTGGTTTTATCAAATAATGATTATATTTAATTCGTTTATTCGGATGCAAATCATGACTCAAGAAAAGTATCCATTTGATGATTTTCTTTTCACTATATGATAATACGACTGTGACGAAGAGAATTATCTCCACAAGTATCAATAAACACTATTCATGTTGAAGAACAATTTTATATACATGCAAATGTTTTATTAAAATTATGATTTGTAACACAATATTTATGAGATTAAACTATGGAAAACAAAATCCACTGTGTTCAAAGACTATGAGCATAGTTAATGATTCAGCTGAGTGTTTTTATTTTCTTTTCATGTTAATATTGATTAATAAACTTCAATTTATTTAATCTTGATAATAAATACTTTATTTTGATATATCCATTCCATAACAATTGTTAAAATAATCCTCTGAGTATGAATTATCCAGACATAGGTTCATTCGAATCTAGATTGAAAATTGTCCTATAGATCAGATCCGAGTTCAAAAAAATATTGTTCGTACAATAGGCTATTTGTCGAAAGTTTTATTAATCTTTCATTTTATTGAGATATCTATTTCGTATTTATAGAAAACTAGTAGAAAAACAATAATTTTAATAATGAGGTAATAAATTGTAGATGTTCTCTATTTTTAGATATTTGAACTATCTTACAACAAGCTTACATTTATTCAGTTAATTTAATATATAGTCTGAATTATTTTTGTCAACTTCATAAGGAAACATGTTCGAATCAGTTTTCGAGAATTAACTGATTTTAGACTATTATCAATTCGTTTATTTCTTATCATTAGCGTTTTATCTACAAGTCGCGTGATTTAAGATTGACGAGGATCAAACATGCAAATGCATTGATAGAGAGAAATAGTTGAGGATATGGATATGGGTATCTATGTTGATCTATCAAGATCACTCTCACATTCCACATTTACACCCACATCAAACCGTTCTTATTGCTTTTCGCAATGTCGATATTTAAAAGAGAAAAAAAGATGAAAATATGAATGAATCAGAAATTCTGTATTAGCATATTATTATATTACACAGTATTCAATGCTGATTGAAAATTGAGAATGAAAAGCAAGGATGAAACAGGATGATGAATTTTTTTTCTTTGTTTATTTTCAAAGAAAAGTTTTAAGAGATGAATTGATTCAAATGATTGTGCAAGGATGTTAGTCTCGTTGTTTATGCTAACAGAACAGATTTGTTCAGTGCTAAACTATCAGTTTATCTTGAGCAAACAGAAATCGCTTTTCGCTAATGAATAGGCAGTGCGGATGTCGTTACGATCATACTGGACATCATCGAGAATCGTCCTTTCTTCATAATAAATGTACATGGCTTAAAAAAGAATAGTGTAAGAAAATCTTCTCACTCTTTCTACTTAAGAAGCCGAAGAAAAACAATGTTTGTCAAAACATCAATATTTTCATCCAAATGATTACTATTTATATTTCTAGATATAATGGCACAATTCAATCATAATTGTATTGTCCGTTCGATATTTTAAAACGACTGAGGAGAATATCAAGCACTAGGTTCACCGGTTTCTATCAGATCGAAATGTGCACCCATATGCTTTAAAATGCAATTTTCTTTGGTTTCTAATCAACTTGTAGTGATCACATATGGCTCGGTATTTCTCCTACGAGTGATAATAAATTCGATGAATAGTCGAATACACTAGTCCAAAATTCTTGGGCTCCACCATCATCAGTTTCTCATGCGTCAAAATGCTTGGTCATAAATTCTTCGAAATATTTTTTAATTTTTTCATTATTATATTCGACACTGTCATTCCAATTATTCTGCCAAATTTTCGTTTTCGAGAGATGTACAAGTTTTGCTTCACCGAGAATGATATATCGATCTCTTGTTTGACGAGTTATCATGTAATCAAATTGATTTTCTTTTATTAATATTGAATAGGTCATTTTTAGAGGTATAGATACAGTCTTGTTATTGAATAATAGAAGAATATCAGTCATGTATGCATTTATAGCAAAGATGACTTTAGATGCATGTATTGTGCTTCATGGTGTTACATTGTAAATTCATTCCATGTTTCAAGTACTTATGAAGAAGATGATGAATCAATTTATAGGGATGAATACTAGGTCGGGTGTGGGTGTGGGTGTGGGTGGGTGTGGGTGTGTGGGTGTGGGTGTGGGTGTGGGTGTGGGTGGGTGGGTGTGGTTGTGGGTGGGTGGGTGTGGTTGTGGGTGGGTGGGTGTGGGGTGTGGGTGTGTGGTGTGAGTGTGGGTGTGGGTGTGAGTTTGTCTTCTTCTCTTTAACAACCACAGCCACACCCTCACACCCATACCTACACCCATACCCACAGCCACACCCACCCACACCCATACCTACACCCACACCCACCCACACCCACACCCACCCACACCCACACCCTCACACCCATACCTACACCCATACCCACATCCACACCCACACCCACGCCCACACCCACCCACACCCATACCTACACCCACACCCACCCACACCCACACCCACACCCACACCCACACCCCACACCCACACCCCAAGTGTCATATTTGAGGTCAGCACAAAAAACTGAGTCGATTCATATACATTTCAAACGGTTTCTATGACTTTCGTTTTTTCCTCAATTTTTCCCCCTGATCCCCTCAGGGATGGATGAAAAATGAACTTCATGAAAATAACTATTTGATTATCTAGAAACCTCTGATTCTCTCTAAAAATAGCATTTTACAAGTCCTGAATGGCTTTTCTACTGTCGGAAACGTTTTCTCATGAAGTGCATTTTTTCGTTCATCCCTGAGGGAGACCAAAGGGAACAATTGACGGAAAAATAAAAGTCCTAGAAACAGTTTGAAATGTATATAAGTCAACTCAGTTTTCTGTGCTGATTTCAAATATGAGATTTTTTAAAAGCCAAACGAAGTACTTTCTACTCGAAAACCGCCGAATATTAGTCAAAAAAGAGGTAAATTGACTATCAAGTATTGTAGTTAGAGCAAAAGTGCTTCACTAGACTTCAAATTTCAAGTTGAAAATGGTCTCATCAGAAAGAACACATTAAATTGCATATCCAATGTGAAAATAAAGCTAGTGCACCCGGAAAAACTATAATTTCGAAAGACTCGAAAAACCATTATTTGTGCCACTATGACCCAATTGGGGCGGTATTTGGAATTTATCGATAGAAAAAAATTCGAATGTCTAAGGTATTCTTATAGACCCCGATAGAGAATGAAATTCTCTATCAAATGGGCCTATTTGCGACTAGTTTAGTTCGGATTTTGATGGACTTTCAGGTCAAAAACTGGTTTTTACGGCTTCCAGAAAGTACTTTAGATTTTTCGGTACTTGTTTGTTATCGCCCCGCAAAATTTTTTTTTACTTTTTTCATATTATCATACCTTTTAACTTACTATCTTTTCATCTTATTATCATTCCTATCATGCCCGTATTATGACTAGTACATGTTTCCTTTCTTTCTATTATTGTTGTGATGCCAGCATGTGATTTCATCTATATCTTCTTTCGTTCTGCTATCATGCATGAATGCATGTATGTATGATTCTAGTATATTCAAGTGCATTCTTGCTTTCCTTTCTATCTTTTTCTTATATATATTGTTCATGTAGATCTCTCTAGTAGGTTCTTTGCTCTCACGTATATATATCCGTCTGTTAAACAA